TGTGTGTGTGTGTGTGTGTGTGTGTCCTCAAAAGCCTCCATGCATTCCTCCCATTCTCAGCCTCTTGGAGGAACCATATTGAGACGCAAAACAACAAGGCAGAACTGAGCTGGGGATAATCCTATATGTCTGCACAATTATCACTGTCTAAATGCTGCTGGCTACTGTCTACATGATATTTATTATTAATGTCCCACATAGAAGGATATATCTGGATCTGTATGTGAGGCACAAGAGAGGAGAGGTTTCTGTGCAGAGAGGATAAACGGCGTCTGAACTCTTCATGGAAAATATGTCTCCGTTCGCAGTTAAACTCCCCAAAAATACGAGATCCTGATTCACAGAAACTCATGCTTCTTTATTTCAATTGTTTTCCCAGAGAGCTGTGTGAGGAGGCCATGACCCACTCAGCCAGCTCGGCCTCCAGCCTGGACAGCCATGCCCCGTCAGAGAGCAGCGGCCAGTTGCAGGGCGTGCGCTGGGAGGAGCAGCAGAAGGTGCTGGCTCTGGAGCAGTTGTGCGGAGTTTTCAGGGTGGACCTGGGTCACATGAGGTCGCTGAGACTCTTCTTCAGGTCAGTCGGGTTCGGCAAAAGGTCACAGGGAGGTCAAGAGGTGTCACCTCATCTCGCTACTGTGCAATGCTCCATGCTGTGTTGCAGGGTGTAGGTCTGGTTGATGAAATAATTAGAAAATTGGTGGAGGATATTATTATAAAGTAAGAAATACTGTTTCTTTTAAAACATTAATAACATATTTCAGCTTCAATGGTTTCTTCTGTTGTTTTCTCGTCTTCTTTGTTCTTCATTGTGCTGCTGCAGTGACGAGGCATGTACCAGTGGCCAGCTGGTGATAGCTAGCAGAGAGAGCCAATATAAGATCCTGCACTTCCATCACGCTGGCCTGGACAAGCTGGCTGAGGTCTTCCAACAGTGGAAGTGCTGCAGGGAAACTCAGCTCAAAGACCAGGTCGGCTTACAATCCAAAATGGCTTTGAGTTTTATTAGGAAACAAATTAATTTTTCTGCTTTGGTTTTGTGCCCATATTTGTTTTTGTCCTCTTAGGTCTATTATCTCTCTACCATTCAGGTGTCAAATGAGAAATCCTGCATGCAGTTTTCCATTAAAAGGGCCACGCTACCATCAGCGGAGAGCCACCCAGAGGAGAAGCTTTATCGAAGGCTGGATGTCACCACCTGGCTACGCCATCTCAACCACACTGGACAGGTTGAGGAGGAGTATAAGCTTCGTAAGGTATGTCTGTGCATGCACATCCATCTTTTTTAAAACCCTGCAGGATCAGTCAGACAAAGAAGTCTTCCAATACATTTGTTTCTACTTCTTTTATCCATACACACAAACTTCACATTTGTTTCTACTTTTCAAAAACATACTGAAAGTCATTTTGAAATTCAACTTCACAGTTGGTAACTTTCAGTATTAATCAGCTACCACATACTGGGTGGGTCTCGGGCGATTCCTCCTTGTGAGTCACTTCACTTCTGTGAGATTGACTACTGAAGTGAGTCAGTGGCAGTTTGTCTGTGACCAGGACGTTTCCTGAGTAAACACAGAGAGAAACAGAGCATTGTTTTTTCAGGAGGTTTCAGTTGTGCAACATTTTGCAAAACTCATGAAAAAAAACATCCAAGCTGTTTTTAAACGAAAACTCAGAGAATGTCCGCACAATGGGGTCTTCTGGGATTTTCTTTCACACATGACCAACACAGCAGGAGATTATCTGGTCAGACACGTTCACAACAACACTGAAATCTCTGGAGCGTTCAGGTGATGGGTGGAACAGCATGCAGAACAAATTAATTCTGCTGCGGAGATCATCTGTTTTTGTTTACAGCACATCTATGCCGCCGTCGGCCCTTATCACCAAAAGCTCATCTGCATCATTATTTTTCACACGCCCACATGCATTGAATCCTTCAGAGAATCTCTTGCTGGTTTCACTCGTGGGCCCATTCGGACATTATCTGGAGTTTTTACTGGGGGGGGGGGAGGAGAAACTACAGAAAATCTCTGCAGCCTCTTT